TAGAGGGCAATATGGGAGAAATACCAGGGGAAAATTAAAAGACCAGAAGCTACCGTCTCAAAAGTACTATCCTGCTACACAACTAAACAAAATGGCAACTGAAAGAACCTACCATGACTTCTGGACCTAGTACATGATAGCCATGAGGTTCCCCTCTGACCTGTTGGACATACTGTCTCTATCACTTGTTTGGATATTAACCATACACTACCTTAGAGTCGCTCTGTGCTTGCAATCTACTCATACTCTTTTACTTGCCCTGTACTTCATTCTCTCAACTACATGCACACTTCCAGGGAGCCTGGGCCACGTCTTATAATGAACGACCTCTAACAGAAGGCCAGGCATCCAGCATATGCTTTACAAATGTGCACAGCTCTGGCCCTGGGAACACAAAACCAGCCTTGCAAACATTTAGAGAAGGCTCTTTGGGGGCTAAATCAGGGTTTTTTTTTGTTGTTTTGTTCTCTTTTTCTTAAAATGATTCATGAGAAAGTTTATGTCTAAATGCTACCAGAGGAGCCATGTGGTGTGTGCAGACACCGTAATGTTAAAGAGAGGCTTTCCATTTATCTTTCTTTTTTAAATTCTGCATTCCACCACCCCTGAATGCAAATGTATTTCAAATTGTATGGCAACATCCTATTGCAAAATACTAATTGAACCAATTTCATGGAGCTGTGTCAATGATAAACAGAATTCACAACAGAATAGGGATTGTAGAGTTAAACATGTAAAACATTGGTGTCTTTTTCTGAGAGAAGATAGCATGTAGGAAATATCTTAGGATCCAAGAGCGTTACCATGGTTGGCCGTGGAAGATAGACCTGTGAGGGAGAGATTGAGAGGACCTACGGGAGAGCCCCCAGTGAGCTCCCCTAGTCATGTTCTTGATCTGGCTGCTCGCTGGCCTTGTGCACATCTGCCAACACTGTTAGCATATTCCTCCCACTCCCTACCAGTGAGGCCTGGGGTCACTCACTTCTCTTGAAGCCCCAGTTTGCTCATCTATGACTATCAAATTAGAATCTGCTTCGGGGATTTTGTGAACACTCAGTGAGATGATATTTATTGAGGATTTCGCATTGTGTTGGATCCATAGTTCATTGTCCGTGAATAATAGTTATTGTTTCGGAGTACACCAGTCAAGGGCTGAGGATACGCAGGCAGCGAGGAGATGACCATCTGGAGGCACGGACAGTGAGAGCTCCGCCATTCACCTCCAGTTCACGTTCTCCTCCCTGCAGGGCTACAGAGATGTCACTTTGCTAGAGCAGGGATGTACAGATGGCTGGGGAGTGCACTTCAATCATACGGACTGGGGGCACGGGAAGTAGATGAGAAGAACTCAAGCTGGCTTGTGCATGACCCCAGCCATGGCCATCGCAGGACACTCCTCAAAGATAAAACCATTTGTATTTTCTTGTGAACTGCCCCTCAAGAGAACTTCTTCCTTTCTCTGCAAAGATGCCCTGAATGACAAAGAACCAGATGATGCATCAAGTGCGTCAACCCACGAAGACATGACATTGACTCGGTAACTGAAGGCAGCCTGAGGCTGAGCAGCGAGGGGGTTCCGCCTTCCTTTAAGCAGGCCATGCCCCTAGTCTGCTTGCAAGAGCCTTGCCACCACTCTTGGACTTCATTTTCTATATCCTAGGAAATAGACAGAGAGACAGTAGGTTCCAGAAAGTTTTTGGAAAGCTTGGAAGCTTTCTTCTGGTTTCTACTAGCCATCCTCCCCTCTTGGCTTGCTGGCCTAAACTTGGTCTTGTGCTTATTCTTAGGCTCTGTGGCTTTTTGAAAGCCAAGTTCTGATTGACTGGATATTGGTACTAGGTACCAGGTTTACTCCTAATTAGTCATGAACACAACGCTGATGTAGCCTGGTTACCTTTGGCTAAATCAAACCATCTTTGGCCACGAAGTCAATCCCTTGGCCCTCAGAGTTGCCATTGCACGAGGGAACCATGTGACAGGTGTCAGAGAGACAACCAAAGTGTCTACTACCTTTTGGCATTCAACTTAACATATCATTCAATCCAGCAAATAATGACAACACGCCTGCTGTGTGCCAGGCAGGAAGAAGGATACCAGGAAGACATAAGTGTCCACTGTTGATGAGAGCAGCAGGTGAGCACTTAGGCAAAGTGCCTAGTGCAGCACTTGGCCCCTAAGACCTGATCAGCATCAGCATTAAAATGAATAATATATCTATTAGTGGTCCCTGCCACCAAGAAACTTGTGGTTTGATAAGACAGAAAGAATCCTAAACAAATATATGATAGCTGGTGTCAAGAGTGGCCAGAGCAACCCTGGGGATGGCATCAAGGACAGGAGTCACAGTGGAGCATGCAGAAACCACGACAGCCCACTCACTGCCTCTTAACCCGGACCTCACCCGAAGAGCTTTAAAACCTCTTCACATGATCAGATCAGAATCTCTGTGGGCGAGTCCCTTGAATGCAGCCTCTTCAAACAACAATTCATTCCAGTTCAACCCTGGGTTGAGAAGTTGCATTTCCACTGCGGATAGACTGAATCATAATCTACATTGTTAGGAATTTGTTAAAATGTAGGTTCTGATTCAGGCAGGAATAAACCTGGTTTTAAAGATTCCCCAAGTGATGGCAATATGCAGCTAAGGTTGAGCAGCACAGTAAGAACCTATTGAGAACATAAAACATACATATGTAAACCAGTACTAATGGTGCCAGGGCATGAGGAGTACATTTAACATGAGCTGGCGGCGTTCCAAGGATCGGGGGTGGAAGAAGCATGGCAAGCTTTGGAGCCAGATCAGAGGTGGCTTCAGTAGACAGTAGGGAGATGGGGACTTCGGGAGCCTTGAAAGATGGATGTGGTTTGCCTGATCTGGGAAACTTGAAGGTGAGCATCTCACTGTGGGGAGGAATAGATGCGAGGGAAGTGTGTGGGATGGGGCTGGTAGAAGCATATTGATTTTGATCTAATGATTTCAACAGGGAACTAGAACCATTAAGTAAAAGAAGAGATTGGAGTAGCAAGGGATGATTCGCTAGTATGAAAATATGGGAATGTCAGAGGTAAGGAGTAGCCAGGGCCCCTTGCACTGAGACAGAGGTTTAGGCTTATTGGCTGGGTGTGGCTCACAGAGAGGTGGCTGGAAAGCTTGCCTCCCTGACCTGGGGAATGCTATTCAGAGGGAAGTGTCCCTTATTAGCTATTTGGCACTCGACCACACAACCATCTAGAACCAGGGGCACTGTGGCCACCACAGGGGCCATTAGAGCCTGCAGACAGAGCCCAAGAGAAGCAGGACCCAGAAGTCCCCAACAGCAAATAAAGACGCAGAGGGGTCCACAAACATTCCCATGGCATGTTAAAAAGTGGAGGTCGAACCCATAGCTATCATTTCTATCTATTCTGCGGCCTCTCTGAACAAACTCCAGGGTAAGATCAAGACCAGGTCTGCGAGTGTGGGTGGGAGGGGTCTGTGCCCAAGGAGGGCAGAGGGGCAGGCCTCCTGGAGGAGGGAGCCAGATGTGGAAAAGGAGGGAGAGAAGAAAAGGTGTTGCCTCCAGCTTGGCCGTGCAACACAAGGCATTCAGAATCCCCTCCGGGGAGTGTGGACCTGAGCTCTCCAGGACTCAGCACAGCTGCTGCAAAGCACAGGGGGGCATGAGAAGGAGGGGGTGAGAGAAGCTTTGCTGTGTGTCAAGTAGAACAGAATCAGGGATCTCCTTCTATTCCAGCAGCCCTAAATGTGATCAGATGTGATTCCAACTTGGCGAACCTATAGGACAGAGTAGAACTGTGCCTGTGGGTTTCTAAGAGTGTGAATCTTTATGGGAATGAAAGTCTCATCTTTCTCTTGCTGAGTGGCTAGTGGGGTCGAACTGCTGATCTTGAGGTTAGTAGCCCACTCATAACTACTACACCACCAGGGATCCATAGGATTCTTCTTTAGAATCTTTGATCAAAACATTCACGAACAGTAGCCATGCGTCATTCAGTTCTTCTGGCCTCATGCCGATGAAGACGTAGCCTCTCCCTATCCGTATTCTTCACTCTCTCTCACTCCAGATAAACAGAGACCATTGTTGAACCTTGGATGGCTGCTTAGAAGCTTTCAAGATTCTAGTCACCACACGACTAACTAGGAATTACCTCAACTTTTCAGAGACTGGCACTACTAATCAGCCAGTTGGAAACAATAGTACCTCCCTTGCAGGCATGTTCACATGAAGTCCCCAGTAGGGAGCCCAGCACACAGTAGGCCTTTAATCAGTGGCAGTTTCCTCACCCTGCTCATTTGACCCTTGTCCCTCCTGTTTTCTAAGACAATGTTTCGCTTCTGAAAGTATCTTTTTAAAAAAATCATTTTATTGGGGTTCATACAATTCATCACAATACGTAGATCAATTGTGTAAAGCTCACGTATACATTTGTTGCCCTCATCATTCCCAAAGTTCGCTTTCCTCTTGGGTTCCCGGAATCAGCTCATTTTCCTTTTTTCCGCTCCCTCTCCCCTCCCTCCCCCCTCCCCCATGAGCCCTTAATAATTTATAAATTATTATTATATCTTATAATATATATAATATATGCTCAGCATCTCCCTTCACCCACCCTTCTGCTGCCCATCCCCCAGAGAGGAAGTTATATGTAGATACCTGTGATCAATTCCCCCTTTCTACACCCCCATCTTCCCTCCTGGTATCACCACTGTCATCCCTGGTCCTGAGGGGTTCATCTGTCCTAGATTCCCTGCGTTTTCAGTTCCCATCTGTACTGCTGTGCATCCTCTGGTCTAACCAGGTTAAAATTCAGAGTGCCAGGAGTCCTAGCATTGGTGCCTGGGGGAAGGACCAGAGCATTGTGCCATATGCCAGGTCCTCTTCCTCGAGCTCAGGTTGGAGGGACACATAAAGTACCCTTGGCTCCTTGATGAGAGAGCCCCTGGTAGTGCTGCCTCCTACTCAGTGCCCACCGAGCACATAACAGCGCTTCTTTTTCTCTAGGAGGAGAAGTCGCCAAGCCCCGGTTTACTCAGTTCTTCCACGGCAGCCTGGCCAGTCTCACTATCCGCCCTGGCAAAATGGAGAGTCAGAAGGTGATTTCCTGCTTGCAGGCCTGCAAGGAAGGGCTGGATATTAATTCCTTGGAGAGTCTCGGCCAAGGAATAAAGGTAAGGGAGGAGCTGGCCTCAGCCCTGATTAGATAGAATGTAATTTATGAGGTGCAGCCCAGCACCAGGGTGTTCCAGAGAATAGAGACATCAGCCCCTAGGCCGAGATGCTGCCTCATGGAGCGGGTGCGGGGTGGGGGGGTGGGGGTGGGGGAATGGAACCAGTGACCTCCACTTCCACAATGGACTTCTGCTGCCGCCTTCTGGAACTCTAAGATGACCGGGTCACTACACCAAACCAGGCCCACACCCCATGGCAGCCCGGAGGGCGTTGTCACTGTCAACCTGGAGGGAGGCAGGGGTGCGTTGGTTGCTCTAGTGACTGTTTACCTGAGGCAGCATGCAAGAGCACATTTCTCTGATAACAATACAGGGCAACAAAACAAGAGTGTCAAGTGAGGACTATATGAAATATGAATTTGATGGAAAGGTCAAAACCAGGGTCGGGCAGAAAATAGATACGGTCATGGATCTGACATTGCGAAATCGAAGCTCAGAGGTGGCTCTGGTCCTCAGAGAGAAGGGGAACCATTCGCGATTTCGACGGCTTGTGAAGACACAGACAGTCACTCAGGTTGTCCAAGAGAATGAGCGCTGCCTCTCTGACAAGCAGTTTGGTTCTGGCTCCACATGGACGTGTGGAGCCCGTGGGCGTCAAGCCTCTGGTGTCCTGCATGAAAGACAGGGGCCCAGAGTCTCTCAGGGAGGCACATGGCTAAGTGCTCGATACTAGTCGGCAGATTGGCTGTTCTGACCCATCCAGTGATGCCTCAGAAGCCAGTCACGAACAGCACCCTGTATCGCTGTCCTGATCTGTACTCTTGAACTTGTCAGGACTCAGAATCAAGTCGACAGTAATGAGTAACAACACATCGGAACAGGAGGTAAAACTCATCCATGGAGACTGAACCCAGCCAGTGGTCACGGGCCCAAGGGGTGAAGTCAGTCATTCCATCTCTTCTCTGGGAACCCATGCTCGGTGCCCTAGAGCATCACCCCCCCATCCCCATTCCATGCTGTGCCCTAGAACTCAGCCCTGCCCTCTCAGACTTCAGCCTCCTCTCTGGGGGGTGAGGGGGGGCGGGGGGAGGGTGGCGTCCCTTCCTCCAGGAAGAAGTTATCTGACCCTGGAGGGCCCAGGAGCCTGAGGACTCTAGTTTTCTTTTGGTTACAGTCACTTCAACAAACGTGTGTGGACACTCGGGTGTGCAATTCTGAGCTGGTCACTGGGACTCATAATGTCTGAGGCTGGATTGCCTAGAGAAACAAAACCAGTGACATTTGCATATGGACAAGAAAGGGCTTTCTATCAAGAAGGTGGTCCGACCCAGTCCATGGGTGCCAATGCTAGCTGGACTCATGTGGCTGCAGGCCAAGCGAGGTGCAGCAGGGTGCAAGACCATCATGGGCTGGCTGGTGCAGTCACATGGGTGCCAGGGCAGTGGAAACATGGCAGGGCACCGACAGCTTTCAGGGTCTCCTCTCCCCACCCCATGGAGGCAGGGGCTATTCAAGAGCCCCCTTTGGGGGAATGAAGAATCGAGGACAAATGTGACAAACAAGATACATAAAATCCCAGAGTCCAACAAAACAAGCAGGACAATCCTAAAGGCGTGGGGCTCGGGGAAAGCTCCTTGCATGGGGGAAATGCATGTGGGGCAGGAAGTTTGTGGAAAGGTAGAAATCAGCCAGAAAAAAGATGGAGAGGCAGCTTGGAGAAAGGAGACTCGCTCCAAGGGGAACTAAGTCTGTGAGCCCTGGAAGGGGCGAGGAGCGTCGCACAGTCTGCGCTGGACGGGGCTGCAGGGCGTAGGCTGCAGGAGGGTACCTGCCGAGAGCAGCTAGGCGTCACTTTGCTAGAATTGCCTTTGCTGTTTACACTGGTATGTCTTTCCTTTCTTTTTTTTAATAGCTCATTGAGACATAATGCACATACTATTCCATTCACTCAGTGCATTTTCAGGATATTCACAGATGTAGGCAATCATTACCACATTCAATTGTTGAACATTTTTATCACCTCCAAAAGAAGCCCTTGCCACTGTAGCTATCACTGCCCCCCATACATCCATTTCCCCAGCCCCACGAACTGAAAGTTTGCTGTTTCTATAGCCAAACGTTTCATATGAATAGAATCCAATAACAAGAGATCTTTTGTAGGTTTTCATTTCTGTTGGCAACAGGAAGCCGTTTAACAGCTCCAGGCAAGGGAATGTGGTTTGGGCCCTATAGCTAGACCAGAGGAGTAACACGGGATGGGTAAACACGATGTGGCTTTATAGAATATTTTTAAATATGGATTCAGCCTCCGCACACAAGTTCTTCTTTTCAAAACGATTTTATTTCTGTTGCTGATAATATACACAGCAGAATATATACCAATTCCGTTATTTCCACCTGTACACTGCAATGGCATCCACTGCCTTCTTCTGTTTTCCCAACCATCTTCTCCTTTTCTGACTTGTTCTTTGCTCATTGATACAAACGCCTTGTCCCTAAGTACACTGGTGCTCTTTATGGCCAATTACCTGGGATTAAAGGCAAAGGGCCGATGGCCCACTTACATCGGAAAAGCTGGCAGAAAACCTACCCTCCACCCATCCTATCTTAGTTTCCATGTGCTACCATAGCAGAAGAGCCACAAATGGACTGTTTTCAAAACGAGAGTTTTATTTTTTCAAAAATGTTGAGGCTGAAAATCCAAGTCTGATCTCAGCCATGTCACTTTCTGCTATTGGCATCGCTCTCCTAGCTTCTGATGACTGCCAGAATGCTTGCCAATACTTGGCATTCTTGGCATGACTCAGAGCCACTCAGTGAGATTTCTTGGTGTTTCTCTTCCTCTAGTGTCTGCCTTGTAGTGTCTGTATGTTTTTATAACTCAGAAGTTATTAGGTTTAGGATCCCCCCCTACTCAGGATTGACTAAATTAGTATAAATTTTAAAATCCTAATTTTAAACGGGATCGCATCCCCAGGGATAGCAGTTAGTCTTTCTATGTTTATTTTGCAAGGACATGGTTCAGTCCATAACACTTCTCTCGCTCTCCTCCTTGCGTCTGAGTAGAACTTCCCTGCTGGCCCATCTTGTGGAGCCACAGTCTCAGGGAGCCAGGCTCTATTGGGACAAAGATGCTGGACTCAACGGGCATAATGTTTTAGAATTATAAATTAATAACCACAGTCATTTCTGCACAGATGTAATAGCCTATGAAAAAAAAGACGAGCTAAAGTAAGTGGCACAAAAAATACTATGGGGGCTAGGAAGGTTAATCACAGGGCCACCTATTCATAACAAAGTCCCACTGTAAATGATTCCTTTCCATCCTTAGGGCGAGTCTGGGAAGAACTGGAGCACTTTGTTAAAAGTTAATGAAAAGAGACACAATTTATGGAGCACCCACTGGGTACTATTTTACCTTCATTATCCTTACTCCTCACAACAAATTAAATATTATGACCCTGTTTCAAAAATAAAGAGATTGGAGCTCAGGGACTTGCTCAAAGTGAGCCCATGCTCTTTCCGCCACACCAACAGATTAGAAGGAGTTCTTGAAAAGTTGGAACACTCCCTTCCTTCCTGGTATCTCTCCATCCATCACTTTCACAATAATGACTATCATTTTCTTTATCAATTACTGACCCCTTCCTCCTCTGGCCTCCAGCAGTTGAGGGAAGTTAACTTCTCTGCGACTTACAGGGGAGGTCTTGTTTTACTTGCCTTTCCTTTGGATTCTGAATATTGTGTGAATTTTTCTCCAGGATGACTTGTTGGGGAGACTGCTATTTTTACCCCATGGAACAATCACATTCCAGAACTGTATCCCATTCGGAGCTATACCTCCTCGGCCAATTTGCCATCTACACATTGTGGAAGAACTTTGAAATCTGATACTCCTAGATTCGACTAGGGAACCCTGGGGGTGTAATTACCCATTCTGCTGCTAATTGCAAGGATAGCAGTTCTACTGTGTGGGAGAAAGATGAAGCTTCCTATTCCCATAAAGAGTTACAGTCTTAGAAACCCACAGGGAAAGTTCTGCCCTGTCCAAAAGGTCGCTATGACTCAGACTTGACTTGGATGCTGTCACAGGTTCAACTCTCAACACTGATATTTACTACCTGAGTACCTTGGGCAAGAAAGCCTACTCTTTGAGTCCCAATTTGTTGGTCTATATCATGAATTTGATAATTTTTATGTTGCAATACTATTGTCAAAAACTGAACAAAATAATAAAGCCCCCAGCAAACACAATAGGTTCTCAACAAATCACAGCTCGATTCTCCTGTTGGGTTGACCTTGCACCTGCATGCCCAGGACAAACCTAGATAATAACCCACATGCCCAGGGCAAGGCCAGGTGGCAACTGGGGCAGTGGATCCTCTGAAGTAGCCCAGCTCAGCAGGTCTGGCAGGTGTCTATCCCAGAGTATTGTCAGTGACCTACAGCCCCATAGCAGCCTATCTTTAAGGAACAGACCACCCAGCTATGGACTGGTTGCTGGAGAGACCGGTCAAGGGTCAACCATTCTGCAAAGGTTGTCTGTCTGACACCTCTTTGCTCAAGGACACATGCAGCTTCCCAGAAGTGAGCACTCTCATCTCTACCGAGGCTCCAGCATCCCCATCTCCCACCTCAGTGGTGATGCCGGGGCAGGTACATCACCCCCATGACCCAAGGCCAATTCATGCTGTAGGCTGGGACGACTACAAATCTAAACATCCGTAATTTATTGGGTGGAGGATTTTGTTTTTTTATCCTGCCAGACTTAGGTTGATGGCTAGATCTGTGTCTACCTTTGTGCCCTGTGGGAGTTCTCTGAGTGGTTGCCCTGACAGTCAGATCCAGACATTAACTAGAGATCCAGCATATTCCCTAGCTTGTCCATAAATGGCTATTGTGGGAATATGCCCTCTGCTGATGGCCATGGGTGCTGCCCATCCATCCATCCATCCATCCATCCATCCATCCATCCATCCATCCATCCATCCATTCATCCA